GCCTGGACGCCGTCCTGTGCCACTGCTGGAGGTGCCCCTGCTCTGGCGGGGGGGGGGCACTGGGGGAGCTCCAGAGCGACCTTCTGACCCCCACCAGTCTGGGATTCTGGGATTCTGTGAAAAAGAGGGAGATCTCTGTAGGAAAAGTACATTACTGTGTGGCAGCCCTGACGTACCCTGGCCGGTTCTCGCTGCAGACAACCGCTGCATGGACAGGAGGTTTCTCCCGACCCGTGCCAAGCAGCTGGTGGCCCTGGCCAGCTTCCCCGGCGCTGGCAACACCTGGGCACGCCACCTGATCGAGCTGGCTACCGGCTTCTACACCGGCAGCTACTACTTCGATGGGTCTCTCTACAACAAAGGTGAGAAGCGGGGGTCGCTGCCAGGGGTGCACCGGTCCCACCTGAGCCGGGAGAAGGTCCTGGTGCCATCCCCGTGGTCTGCAGGAAGGGGAGGGTAGAGCCGGGTACCGCCGATGCTGCTCCGGGGGATGGTTTGCGCTGGATGCGTGCTGGTTCAAAGGGCGTCAGAGGGACCTGACTTCGCATCTGTCCTGTCCGTAACCTCCCCACGCTGCCCACCGACCTTGGCCAGGACTCATTTGGGGCAGAACTGGGGGTTCTCCATCGCACTGGTGGTTTTTAGCCTGCTGTGAGTGTTGGAACTTTCTAGAGAAGGAACGGGAGCAGCTCCAGCCCTGGCAAGCAAAGCAATTCCTGCGTGTTTTGCCCCAGGAAAAAGCCGGTTGGGGTTTTGTGATGAGATTTCCCCGGGAGCTGGTGTTTGCGGGCTATGGCACTCTCATCCCGGGATGCGTGAAGTGAGAAGCAGATGAAAGCCACGGCTGCCTGGTGAGAGGGACGGATGCAGCCTTCCAGCTTCAGGATTTGGGAGCAGGTGGTGCTGGTGGCACCGCTATCCTGGAGGACAAACGTCCCCACGTGCTTCCCGAGTAGCTGCAGATAAAAATAGCCGTGCGTCAGGGCAGCCGGGGAACACCGCCACCCAAATGAATGAATATTCGCAGTGCAAAAAAAAAACGCCGATGAGCTCATGGCGGGGGATGGGGGAGGGAGCTGAGCTCTTTTGCCTCTTCTTCTCGGGCTGAAAGATTTGGTGGAGATCCGTCTTCTCGTCCTGGGCCAGGCAGGTATTTGCCCAGTAAATTTTTGACGGAGGAGAGATGCTGTGGCTCCCAACCCTTGTGCCCTCCGGGGCAAAGCAGCAGCATTGTCCCCACCGTATCGGTGCCGGGGCCGGCAGCACGTGGGCTTTGGGGACCCCGAATATAAGCAGCGAGTTGCAAGCCAAAAAAAAGCTTGAGACAGGCGTGAAGCTTTTTTGGGCAGAAACCACCTCCTCCCAGTAACCCACCATATTGCAAGGGGGAGGGAAAAGACCGCCTCCCCTATTTTATAGCCATTTACAATAGTTTTATACATAAAGCTGGAAGGTTTCTCCTGCTTTTCCTTCTCCTTCTGTGGCTCTGAGAGGAAATCCTCCATCCCTCCTCGGCCGTGGCGGAGCTGTTGTGTGTACCCGGGTACCCACATAGCTGGTGGGGACTGTACCCAGGGTACCCCTAAAGCTCCGCTTGCCCAACACCGTAGGCAGCGATGCACTTTTTTTTTTTTTTTCAAGATTTGCCAAATTCAGCCTTTTAGAGATGGAGATGCTCTGCGCTGAGGGAGGGAGCCCGGACTATATCAGCCCCCGGCGCTGGCACCCACTGGGGGTGCAGCCGGCGTCACGCGTCCCCCGGAGAGCATCCCCAGGGCGAAAGCCTTGGTGAGGTTTTGCTCATCCGACCGAGCACAGGTTTCGTGTTTATTCCGGGCTGAGCGCGTCGGAGGACCCGGAGGTATCCAGGCAACTGGCAGATTAGCCATCACACGTCCCCGCGTCGCACAGCGCGGCTGCGGAAAGCAAATTACACATCTATAATTGATGTAATACAGCTACTTACAGCTTATCTCCCCCCTCAGCTCAGCTCCGCTCCGCCGACACACTCTTCCCGGTTACTTTGGGTTGTGCTTTGCGGGGGCCGGTGGTGCGAAGGGGCCGGGAGCGATGCCAGGCTCAGCCTTGATGTTCCCTGCAGGGGACACGGGGGATGGCAGTCCCCTCTCTGGACCAACCCCCCACGGCATCACCGCAGCCCCTGGGCTCATCTGCATCCCCACCAGCATAAGCGTTTTTTACCTTTCTTAATTTATTGGGAGGGTTTAAATGCTGTGGCCAGGGAGGTTATAGCTATACAAATATGTTCTTGACCCCACCGATATACACATAAGGTATATCAATGCAGTTATTTCATGCCGGTGTGCTTTGCCCCGGAGAAGAGCTGGGCCGTGCCGTATCAGGCTGTTGCAGACCATCTCGCTGGGAAGAGCCGAGCACGGCCAGGGAGGGGACAGCCCCGCGCCCGCCACCCACCCTCTGGGACGGGCATGTGACATCATGGCTTGACTCATAGCTCAGGCAAATAAATGCTTTCCATCTGGGAGAGGGCTGCAAGTTCTACTTCAAGTCCCAACTGCTTTTATCCAACTGTAGTTTGCAACCTGATATTCCCCGCGTCGTTCCCTTTGCCCGACTCGCCTCTATTATTTTTATTAATGTCGGCCCTGGCCGCTTCTCAGGCGCCCGCTCGCTCTGTCTCGGCAGGCTTCAAGGGTGAGAGGGACCACTGGCGAAGCGGGAGGACAATCTGCATCAAAACCCACGAGAGCGGCCAGAAGGAGATCGAATCCTTCGATTCGGCCATCCTGCTCATCCGCAACCCCTACAAGGCTCTGATGGCGGAGTTCAACCGCAAATACGGGGGGCATATCGGCTTTGCGGGTCACCCCCACCGGGAAGGGGAAAGGGAACTGCTGCCCCTGCCCCGCTCCCACGGGTCGCGGGTGGGTTTGCTCCAGCCCGGCCACCGGAGCTGCAATGGTGGTGTTAAAGCCCAGCAGAGCCTGAGCTGGTCCCCATGGGAGAAGCCCGGGTTGTGCCACCCCTTTGGGGTCACCATGTCCGTCTCCTGACATGACCCACAGCATCACCTAGCATGGCTGAGGGCTCCTGAGCTGCTGGGACGGGACGGGATGGGAAGAGATGGGTTGGGATGGGAAGGGCTGGGATGGGATGGGATGGGATGGGACAGGATGGGACGGGATGGGACAGGATGGGACGGGATGGGACAGGATGGGACGGGATGGGACAGGATGGGACGGGATGGGACAGGATGGGACGGGATGGGACAGGATGGGACGGGATGGGACAGGACGGGATGGGACGGGGCGGGACGGGACGGGATGGGACAGGACGGGACGGGATGGGATGGGATGGGATGGGATGGGACAGAATGGGATGAGATGGGATGGGGTGGGATGGGGAAGCAGAGATGCTCAGCTGTTTGGTGCCATGTTGGGTGGCAGCAGAGAGGTGGTGGTGCCCAGGGACACATGTCCAACAGCAGCGGGGAGGGAATGGGTTGGGTGGGCAGGAACCCAAGGACCCAAACTCTGCCCTTTCTTTGGAGCAGCATTTCGAGGCCAAGGGCAGCTGGCCTGAACGCTTGGCTGGGCGGGTGGACAGCAAGGAGAGGTTAAAAACATAACAGGATCCATCAGATGTCTCCACCCATCACCTGATGGGCGCATGCGGTGGTGTGGGGCTGCAGCATCTCCCTGCTGCCACCCACGCCGGAGTCCAGCTGGACCACCCTGTGCCAGGGGGGGTGTCAGGAGGGGATGCGTAGCCCCACTCCCTGGCAGAGCCAAGCCCCGTTCTCTGTCCTTCCCCAAGGCAGAGGCGCAGGAGAACGGGCCCCGGCGGTGTGCGGGGCAGGGCCTGCAAAGCCCCCCGGGCTGGGGGAAGCCCCCTGTGCCACGCTCGTCCTCTCGCTGGCAGCGGGAGCGGTGGCAGCCGCCGGCCCGTCCCCACGGACCAGGCGGTGGCAGGAGGTTGTTCCTGTGCGCCCATCTGCTCCGGAGACACCACCTTTCCCACGCACAGGCGTATTGTGGAGGCTCGTTAATTATAGCAATTTACAAATTGCTGTTGTGGAATTGACTTCATTGGAAAGAGTTAAAATATTTAGCTTGATTGAACATCTGCTACCCTTAATTCAGAGTTTATTTAAGGGGAGCTTTTGCTGTTGTTGCTGCTATGTGCCTGGATTGCGTTATCGCCATGTGCTTGCAGCGCTGGAGATGGCCCAGCCCCGCTCTCCCATCCCCCAAAAAACCCGGGAAGAGATACGTCCCACTGCTTCCTCGGTGTTTTTTCCCCCTGGGCATGTCCCTGGGCTGGCATCGCCCCCCCCGTGGCGCGGTACGAGCCCCTTGCTAGGTTTTATCCCCATCTGCTGCACCCCAAAGCAAAGCGGCAAATTGCAGGAGGGGGAATGGCAGGACGATCCCTTCGCTGCACCGCAGCACCACGGGAACCCTCCTGAGTATTCCTGGTCCCAAACTCCCCCCCACACCTGTCCCACACCTCGTACCCCTCAGGGGTAAGGGGTGTCCAGGCAGAGGGGACCCTCCTCTCCACCCCGGCACAGTCCAACTTGGACGCGCGTCAAAATACATCACCAAATTCTTTCCAGAGGACGTATGGGCGTAATTAGCTGATGGGTTAATTAACCGTTGGAACAACTTGCCTGGAAAGATGGAGGTTTTCCATGGCTTGAGGACTTTAGCTGGGCTGGGGGGGTCGCTGAGAGCTGTGGGTGGGCACCAGGGAAGGGCTGGAGACCCCCCGCTCCCCCCCGTGGTGCTGACCCCCATGTGGGGGCTGAGCCCACGGAGGACCCCGGCCGTGGAGCCCCGGGGGTCCCCACGGGACCTTCAGCATCCACCCTGCCCTCCCACCGGCGCGGGAAGCAAACCCTCCGCAGGGACAGCTCGTTAGCACCAGGTTGGCAATTAGCGCTCGGGCGCGCGGTTAAATAAATAAATCACCCAGAGGGCAAAAGAAAAAAAAAAAAGTGATTATAAGTGATGAGTTCAGATGGGGCGCGGGGTCGTCCCCGTCCCCCCCCCCAAACCTTCCCTGCACAAAACCCTCTGCTCCCCGCAGCCCGCCTCGCCAAACCCTTTCCTTCTCCCGGGAACTCATTTTGGGGCAATTTTTGGAAAAAGCAGTGCCCTCTCGCAGCCTCTCCCACAGCCGATGGTACTTGGAGGGGGGGGGAATTTTCCTCCCCCCCTCCCCCCCGTTCTCAGCCCCGTGCGGAGCCCGCAGAGGCCATGGGTACCGTGAAACCCCCGTTCGGTTCCATGACATTAATTTTACGATATCCCTGGAGCGGTTCCAAAGCAAAGTTTTATGTGATATGATTACACAAGGTGAATTGTCCTGTAGCTGTTTAATGGAACAGATACTGTGTTTAATGATTCTTCGGGGAATTAAATACAGTTAAGCTATTAATCAGGCATTGGTTTCTGGGGGAGGACAAGAGGAAGAGGCAGATACCCAGAACTTTTATGCATCGTAAGAGAGATGTATACAGCACTGCCAGGAGAGTTGTGGCTTATTATTGATGTTTCATTATCCCGTTTATCACCTGGTTTTTATGGGAGGATCAATTAGTGAGAAGGGTAATTGAAAGATTTCAGGCGGAGGCGCAGGCGGTGGCCATAGGATGGGGGATGCAGGGGACACAGGGGACACGGAGGTGGGGGGGACACCCGCTAACCGTCTCCTCCGCTCCTTCCAGAGTGGCCGGAGTTTGTGGCCAACTACGCGCCGTGGTGGGCGACCCACACCCTCGACTGGCTGCGCTACGGCAAGAAGGTGCTGGTGGTGCACTTTGAGGACCTGAAGCGGGACCTCTTCGTGCAGCTGCAGCGGATGGTGGGGCTGCTGGGCATCGCCGCCTGCGAGGACAGGCTGCTCTGCGTCGAGGGACAGAAGGACGGCAACTTTAAGCGCTCCGGCTTGCGGAAGTTGGAGTACGACCCTTACACCCCCGAGATGAGGAAGATGATCAGCGCCTACATCAAAACGGTGGACACGGCTCTGAAACTCCAAAATCTGTCAGGGGTCCCGGATGACTACTACCCGAGATGATGGTGACGATGGCGGGGGGGACTTGACCCCGCATGGTGAGGAAAGGCTCGGTCTCCCCGGCCTCTGCCTACTTCCACCCAGTGGGTGGCTTTTCTTTTAAATTCTCCATCTGCTGCTATATTCGCTGTTAATCAACTCCCTGCATGAGCGAGGAATGGTCCCAGCCAGCGCTGAGCTTGCTTGGCCGATGCCGACGTGGAGCCATGAGTGAGGAATGGTCCCCAACCAGTGCTGAGCTTGCTTGGCCAATGCCGACGTGGAGCCATGAGTGAGGAATGGTCCCCAACCAGTGCTGAGCTTGCTTGGCCGATGCCGACCTGGAGCCATGAGCGAGGAATGG